CATCTATGTCGTTGATGTAAATTAAAAAGAGCAAAGGTCCTAAGACTGAGCCGTGAGGTACCCCACTTGTAACATTAATCCAGTTTGATTGAACTCCATTTGTAACAACCCTTTGCTTTCTTGCATCCAGCCACTCTTCTATCCAATTAGCTATCTTATCCCCCACACCTATAGAGATAATTATGTGGTACATTGTTAAATACTTTCTGAAAATCCGATACACCATTTAAAACTACACCCTTACCCTCATCTACGTAAGCAGTAACCTTTTCAGAGAATGTCAAAAACTTTGTAACGCAAGATTTTCCCTTAGTGAAACCATATTAACTATCCGATAAAATTCTAAACTTCGTTTAATGACTTTGCAAAACATCTTTGAACAGACTTTTCAAAACTTTTCCCACAACTGATGTAAGACTGATGGGTCTATAATTACTGGGACAATTTTATCACCTCCCTTGAAACGAGGAGTTACATTAGCTAACTTCCAATCCTCTGGTACCTGCTCACTGTTCAAGGACGGACAAAAAATAATAATAAGTGGATACCCTTTCACTGTGGCTCTGTTTGCTTTCATTTAACCTGATATTTGCTATTTTCAACATGAATGTCACCTTATGCGATACATGGTCGTCTCTGGTTTAAAACTACAGGCAAGAGGGAGAACAGCCGTTACGTACATGTATACTCTTAACCGAATATCAATATTTTCTTTCATTTGATCTTAGGCCTTCTCATCCACAAATCTGGCAGGCTAATCGCTAAGTCACGCTCAAAACATTATACTTAACTTCAACGAGATTGCAAGTGTAAGTCTATCTGGCAATGTCAGGAGGGAAATAAGTCTCTGGTTAGTATATTTTAGGTCTTAATGAGTTAGATTGGAAGAGTACGTGAACTATCAGAAAGAATGTTAGTTTGAATTTAGTTTGTTTGTTTTTCCCTTTGAAATACTAGTTTTATAAAGACTGTTTGTTTGTAATTTAAGCACAAAGCTACACAAGGGCTATCTGTGCTCTGCCCACCACGGGTATCGAAACCCGGATTCTAGCGTTGTAAGTCTGCAGACATACCGCTGTCCCACTGGGGGGCTTTTATAAAGAATATGAGCCGAAACGAGCTCTGAGAGTTAAACATATTTGACGAGGGGACACAATACACCCAGTCAGGGGCTGGCATGGCCTAGTGATTAGATCGCTCGACTCGCAATCCTCTCTCCGAACATGCTCTCCCTTTCAGCCTTGGCAGCCTAAAAATACCACTATTCGTTAGCAAGAGAGTAACCAAGAGTTGGCGGTGGGTGCTGTTGACTAGCTGTCTCCCCTCTAGTATTTCATCGCTAAATTATGGATAACTACCTGTAGAGGACATGAATACCCCAAGGTTAATTTGCCCGAGATTCACCGTTGATGCACCAACATCGAAGTTGCCCCAACGGTTGTGAGAGGTCTCGGGACAAAAAAAAACAACAACAACAAAAAAAGCCAGCTTTTTACCCCTAACATTTATAATTTGTTTAAAAAGTAAGAGTGTTTGTTTCTTTGTTTGTTTGTTTGTAATTAAGCACAAAGCTACACAATGGACTATCTGTGCTCTGCCCACTACTGGTATCGAAACCCGAATTCTAGCGTTGTAAGTCCGTAAACATACCGCTGTGCCACTGGGGGCAAGTAAGGGTGAATCACGAAAAAGTATATCAAAAGAAATACTTCAAGGATGTGTCAACAATATGCGAACGTTGAGTGCTGACTAATGGAACACATTAGTATCTCACAAAGGCTGCCCTCTAGTTTTAAGGCGTAGGGTTTCTTTTCTTTTTAATGTTTTTCAAAGGTTCTCGCATACCCTTAAAAAAATCTCGCGTACCCTCAGGGTTATGCTACCACAGGTTAGGAATAACTGACACACGGTGCACTTCCAGTTGAAAATACCAAATTCCAAAGAAAAATTGATTATTAACTTAAGTAATTAAACACTGTCTGAGTTTTCGGAAAATCAAGGGAAATACTTTCATACTTTCAACTATGAAGGAGTATAACTGTGGCAGTCAATCCTGCTATTTAAAATATAACTGTGACAGTCAATCCTGATATGTAAAATATAACTGTGACAGTCAATCTTTATATTTAAAATATATCTGTGGCAGTCAATCCTGCTATTTAAAATATAACTGTGGTAGTCAATCCTGCTATTTAAAATATAACTGTGGCAGTCAATCCTGATATTTAAAATATAACTGTGACAGTCAATCCTGCTAGTTAAAATATAACTGTGACAGTAAATCCTGCTATTCGTTTAAAAGTAGCCACATAGGTAATGAGTACTGTTGACTGGTTGCTTTCCCTTTAGTCAACAATTTAAATTAGTGATCGCTATGCCTGATACTTAAAATATCTAATCTGGCCATTTAGTCCATTTATTGCATAAGACATGTGGCTACCAACCGTTTAAAGCTGGGGATAGATGTATATTTTTGAGGCATGATAGAAATGTATTTTTGAGGTATGACAGAAGTGTATTTTTGAGGTATGATAGATGTGTATTTTTGAGGTATGATAGAAATGTATTTTTGAGGTATGATAGAAGTGTATTTTTGAAGTATGATAGAAGTGTATTTTTGAAGTATGATAGATGTGTATTTTTGAGGTATGATAGAAATGAATTTTTGAGGTATGATAGAAGTGTATTTTTCACACACACAAAAATGAAATGTCAAATGAGACAATAATTTCACAAATATCTTTATAATCAGATACAGTCGTCTTTTTTTTCAGTTTCTAATAAATCATACAATTAGTGTCTAGGTTTAAATTGGACAAATTATCTTCACGTGTAAGCTATATCGTGACATTATCTA